AAAAAAAGTCACACTTTCACTTTTCTAATAAACTTCTTGACGATTTGGGAGAATTTATAAAAATTTCCGTATTGTAAAATGTCTAATAGATTGCAATGTCCGTATGAAAAATCTCATGAAATATTGGAATGGCGTATGCAGTTTCACTTGATTCGTTGCCGACGCAATCATCCTAATGCACCTAAAGTCGTGTGTCCATTTAACGTTACGCATATATTAAATAAAGCAGAATTAAAAGTAAGTTCCATCTGAAAATCATTTTCCTTTAGTCTACGCTCATCTGCAATTGATTCTTTTCTTGTTCTATAGTTTCATTTAAATGTATGTTCAGATCGTGTAAAACACGACAATTATTGTTGTGTTGATAAAGCTCCAACTAAGCCGACAACACCGCCTCCTAAACATAAATACGAAAGTACAGAGAATTGGGATGATGAGCCCGCAGTGCCCAGTTACAATCCGACCGAATATGCAAAGAAAGCACCGGTATTGCGCTTTGTAAGTGGTGCGAAACCATCTGAACGTAAAAAATTCCGTGAAGAAGAACGTGCGCGTTTAAGAAATCTATTGGATTAAGAAGAGTAATTTGGCAAAAAAAGTTTATACAATTGCCTTCAATTGCCTTTCTGCATTCTTTTTTTTTTTTTTTTTTTGCTAAATATGGGCAAAGAAGTAATTTCAAGCAACTTTAATTTTGAATTATATATATATATAAAAAATCAATGATTTCATTCCATATCACTCTGCGCATATACTGGCCCTTCAAATTTTCAGTTTTTCTTTTATTAACACTGACTTCTTATCTCACTTCATTTTTGACAAGCATTCAAGATCGTTGGAATGGGATGTTTCTTTAAGCTTAATTAAAGCGTTACATAAACAACTTTTCTTTATATTTATATATCTGTATTACAATTTTTCCTTACATACGAAAAACGAACAAGTGTTACGTAGAAAATAGTATACTATTCTTAATATCTTGTCCATTCTTTATTTCTTTCTTCATGTTTCAATTTGTTAATTGATTATTTTTTTATAATTTAAAGGACAAACACCTATAGTTTCCGACAACTTTTAAGGTGTACTAAAACCAAATTATACCGTAATAATATGATAATGAAATTACTATGAAATCTTCACTTTTTTTTTTTTACACTAATCTCTTATTCCATTGAAATCAATTGCTTTTTTTATTAGTAAAAATTGCAGATTGTTTAATTAATTAAGCGTGAATTGATTGTTCCTATACTTTAAATTAAAGATTTATATAAATACTTTTAATCTGATGACAATACATTGATCTATAACAAAAAAATTATTTGGAGGAAACGCTTTGTTTTCTTTGTGGATTAACACAAAAATACATCATGTTCATATCGCTATAAACTCACTGTACCATTCACTTTGTCGATTTGTTTCTTCGGATCCAAAAGTAAAATTGTTATTATACTCGTCACCGAACCATGAGGGATATATTCATTTGGTCAAAATGTTTGCAACGCTTAGAAGAAAGTTTAGAGACTCCATGGAGCATATACATGCCTGATCAGTATCAATTTGGGCCTGTCTGTCTGTCATTCTTTGTCTGTTTATAATATTTGCTGTAAATGTTCTTTCGGCCGCAAAAAGATTTGATAGATACTTTCGAAATTCTTGCACGTAGGTTCATATTAAAAATGGGCCAAATCAGTCGAAAGACACGTCTACAATACAACGCGATTTGGTTTTTTACTCATTCCTCATAAACTCCAGTTGGTGAATATAACAATATTTGAATGTATATTCTACCCAAACCTAGCTAAGATTACTATGTGTCAAAATCGAAGATTTATTTATAAAGCGTAGCAGCAACATTCAAAAAATCCATAGAGTCTACGAAATTCTTGGCCAATTAAGCATGTCCCTCCGCCTAACTGTATATCATTTGTGGACAACATTTTCTCGTTAATGAAAATGAACCTTTCGTCTAGGAACTTGAGAAAGAACTTGAAAATGGTTAAAAGACACGCCTACAAGACTCACACGTCTATGCGACAAAAACTGGGCACCGAATTATCTACATTTTATTCAGTTCAAAGTGACATCCACTTGTGTGTTTAGCATATTTTAGGGTTATGCGGATGTGTGCATGTTTTATTTGAAGCGCCTTGTTTGATACATATTTTGATCGGCAAAACGACGCTAATAAAAATGGTTCAGACCCGAACCCTTTTTTGACCACTTCCAATATAAAGCCTACTTTGGCTGGTCGAACCATTGTTTTGATAGCTTTGAATATAAAATCTAGTTTTGAAATGTCGTTATATATATAAAATGAGCTTATGTAGATCTAAGTGTAGGATTTAATGATGGATCATATCCCGCCATATAGCGATTAGAATATTTTAGGAGAATTATATGCGGTTTGGACCGAATCTTTTATACCTACCATTGTTATTCTATAAAATATTGAAAAGAAGAGCAAAATATAAATTTGTATACTCAATAATATTAAATGGGCGTGGCTGATTTTTTCTATTTTAATAAAATAATTTTGCAGAAATTTCAATGATATATGTGTTATGTAGTTTATTAGTAAAACAAAAAAAGTAAACGTGTGTTCAGTTATGTTTGTATGGACCTCGTAGGCATGTCATTTCCAAATTCTTTTGCAAATTCCCACCCGATAACTTCATTTTTTTTGTGTACTTTATGGGCTTTTTGAAGCGTGTTTTCGAGCACTTTACAAATTTTAGAAAAAATAGTGATATTATGATACAGTATAATATCGCCCAATTTCTACAGGTACTACAGCGCCGCCAATTGAACATGCATTCAAATTTTTGTTTATTTATCTACTGTTTTTTTGTGAGTAATGAGCGAAAAACCAACTTTTGATTCCTTTTGAAAAGCAAAGGTTCCCTGAATTTACGAAGTACCGCAAACATGTCTTTCAACTGATTTGATCCATTTTCAGCAAAAACGTGCGTGCAGGAATTTTCACTGTTGCTGCCAAATTTTAAGTCGATAGGTTCAGTTTTGCGGTCAGAAAAACGTTTACAACAACAGACATCACACATGACTTGCAACTAACAGACTTTGTGGGGTCTCTGGTGTTTTTCTCTAGACCGTCTTTTGATAAAATAAATATACCTTTCACCCTCCAGTAATGGGTGGATAGATATCTATATACTAAATATATAGATAGTAAATATCTACATATGAAACCGGAATTTTGTGCCCTTCACCAAATATACATGGTGAATATCACCCCGACAATTTTCAAACAAAATACTCGGCCTTTTGAAGTAAACCAGCCGTCAACCTATCTTCATGCATTTTCATTAGAAGTGAAATGCCATTCCGTTGATGCAAACACGTGGTAATCGGAAAGACTTGAAAATATTAGGATGTGTCTGGAGCCTACATAGTTGGGCTGATTCTGAATGGATCAACATAATAAAAGGTGAATCTATCTTTGGTCCTTCTAGTGGCGTAGGGTGTAATGATTAGTAGCCCAAATAGATATAAAGTAAAGAAAAATCACATCGGCATGTTGAGCTTATTTCCTGTATTATACCACACGATTATGCTAAACGTACGTCTATCCTCAGTGTTGTTCATCGTTTATGGTGAAAGAGACTCTTATTGTTTTACTGGCGTCTCAAGTGTTAATTGTAGTAATGATTATTATTGTAAAATTGGATTGTCATTAATAATTATTAATATTAATTAAGAAATTAAACTAAACAAAGCTAATAAGTTCTCAATTTGCAACAGATAATTATTTTTAAAATTTTGAAAAAATAATTATTAAAATTGTTTAAAGGACTGGTGCAAGAACACGTATGCAATTGATAAAAATTCAAGTCATTGTATATCCGAGATATTCTTTTCAAAATAAATACATTTTTTTTTGTATGCAATAATAAATAACGGTAAACAAAACAGAAATCCATTAAGTAAATAAATTATGTTTTGAATTAAAATTACAAATGAATCGTAAATTAGACGCAGTTTCAATGTTAATGACATGTCGCATAATAGAGTTGTTCTTATGACATCGACAATCAAACCAACAATAACGATATTCGAGATAATCACCAAAAAAAAACACAGTCCCAACAAACGCGACTGCAGCAAATAATTCTGCAAACACCCACGACATGACCGCCAAGAAATTGCAATGAAACAGAAATTGTCAGACCAAATACTTTAATTGACTTAACTCTGTGTGAGTTTAATCGCAGTGTATTTAGATCGCGACACGAGACAATTTATGACAAAATTGGTAAGAAGGTCATGGTTTTTCAGTTTGTTTTGTGTGAAGTAATAAAAACACACGAAATTTACGATACGATGATAGTTACAATAAGGCATAGAAAATCTGCAAAAAAAAAAAAAAAACTCTTAAAATTCTAATTTACATTAGAATTGCTGCACAGGTGTTTTCAGGTGCGGATACTGCGATCCATTTCGTCTCCTCCTTAGGTACTATTTTACCCATCATTTATTTTGTGAAAACGTTTGCAACAGCAAAAAAAAAATTTCGAAAGGGCGAGAAAATATATATAAAGTATTGTTGAATCGATCTACGCCTGTCTTTCCATCGGTGCTTCTGCCCACTCGTGCATTGTCTGTGAAAAAATAAAGATATTGCCTGAAATTGGTAAAACCTCAGGTCTTGTAGGCTTTTGGTATTGAAAGTGGACCAAATCGATTAAAGAACACGCCCACAATATCCCGCAAACTGAAAACCCCTGCTTTAAACAAAAAAAAATTTGGTTTCTTGCCCATTATTCACGAACTACGCCAGGTAAATCCATATAGTCTGTGAGCGATACCGTAGTAACAGTACAAAAATGGAGAAAATCGGCCACGGTATCACAGTGTACCAAAAGCAAGGAATAAACCATGAAAGCCATCTTCAAAACCCCAGAAAGCACATATATTGCTTACCTGTCTTAAATTAGAAATGCCCCTAAGCATGTCTTTCTGTCCGTCTGCCCAACAACATTATCTCGCTTGCAAAAATGAAAATGCGTGCCGACAGATTTGCGAAAGAATTTGCAAAATATCACAACTGGTCCATAGGACGTTTGATCTGTCCGTCTGACGTTTGTCGATATATCCTTGTGTTCAACCTATATATCGCAATTTTCAAAACAATTCAATGAAATTTGGTCCACTCATATATTTTGAACCAGCGACAACGCTGTTGGAAATTGTTCAAATCGGACCACTTTTTCAATTACCTCCCTTATAACGTCTTATTTCGAGAAGTCTTTAAATGATAAATTGTATTATTTTCAAAATTTCGCGACCAAAATTGCTTAATAATACTATCTTGGCATTCTCAATTTATGGGAAAATTTTGAACCGGCTCGGGAAATTCTTTATACCGTTTCTACCGAAACTAAATCTTTGTATGGTAAACAGACACAATCTTCAATACTTTTTGATGAAATTTCATTCATAATAATAGTTTAATGTAAAAATGAACCTTACTGAAATTTGTCTACGTAGGTATATTTAATGGATAGCAACCGATATAAGCTTTCTAATGAAAAATAAGGCTTTATATGTCAAAAAGTTGTAGCTTTCGATGTATTATGATGAAACTTTGGCCTTAATAAATTAACTATAGGGAATATGGATCACAATTGTTTATGTTTTACATCGTCTCATGCCTATAGCAATTCTCATGAAAGCAACCTTGCAACGGCGACAAAGTCTAATTTTTGTTTTGCTACGACAGAAACAAACAAAAAAATGGAAATTCTTTGACAAATAAATTGTGTTTGCTTAAATTTTCGGTCAATTTAATAAATCGTGCAAGGAGAAAAAACTCTTAATATTTACCCAAAAATCGTGCAAAAAAGAGTAATAATGGAAATTATACTATCATATTTATGAAACAAAAACATGAACAAATTGGAACTGAAATTAGGAATAAAAATTAATTTCCCAACTATACATCGCTATTTGATAATAAGCGCGAACGTTTATTACGAAGTGCGTCGAAAGTGCTATGCCATCAGTAGATATGTCAGATATGTCTAGCAAAACTGGTCGGATTTGAATGAAATGAAGAATTTCCTTCATTATTCACGGGCAGTGATAATTTGAAATTGATGACTTCATTTTTGCGACTAGAAGAGTGCCAACATCACCCAAACGGACAGACATGGCGAAATCAACTCTGAATTTCCCGCTGATCAAGAGTACATATACTTTACAAGCTCCCTGAATCTTCTTTTTGGGTGCTACATACATTACGGGAAAAAACAAAATATATATACCCTATATATGGTGGGGGTATAATAAGTAAGAACATTATACTCGGACAAAACCGACCGATTAAATATCTTTCAGTACATTGTCTAACACGATTCTTATTTTTGTATGAAATTAATATTATAGGATAATTTTCATCGCCACATATTAGATTTTAGACTTTTCCGCTCTACAAAGAATCAAATCATTAGGGTAGGTTCCAAAACATAAGCGGAGATGGTTGATATTTTTATGTTAATTTTTTATTTTAAATTACTAATACAATATAATTTTCATCATGAAGCATTGAAAAGCATTGAAAGCCGGTCCAAAGTTTTCATACCAATTTAGAATGCCGATATCCTACCACTTAGTTACTTTTGCCGAGAAATTTTGAAAATTGCAATTTTTTTCTGGGGAGTGTTCGAAAAAGTGGCCCGATCCGAACCATTTTCGTCTTTAGCTCAAAGCGCGTCATTGGGTCAAATCTCATCTAAATATCTCAAAAATTGGTACCTGTACCTTGCATATATATTTGCATGGCCAGATATCAGACGGATGGACAAGCTTAAATCAATTCAGATTATGATCCTGAATCGATCGGTAGAATAAAAGGTCTGCCTATCTTAAATCTATCTGTTACATACGGCCGAACTTACTTAACATACCCTGTACCACAAGTGATGTAGGGTATAAATAAATGGATTTCGGACAAAAAATTCATGTAAAAACATATATACTGTTACTGAAACGTGTTATGTCAAAATCATGTAAAGAAAGAGTTGTGTGTACTGTGTCAATTGATTTTATCTCTCATAATATGTGAAGGATTTACTAACTCCTC